ACTACGACGAGTGGAATGAAATCTGAACCTTCTATCAAATGTAGTCTTTGTTCTCAAAACCCTATGTGCCACACTATTGGTTCCCAGAACACTAAGTAATAAGCTACCCACTCAACTTGTGTGGAACTTGTTCACATATGAACTGCGCTACAATACTGACTATTGATTAACTACCAAATACACGTTGTATTGGATGAATTCCTTTCAAGCATCCGTTTATCTGGACAGACAGGATGAAAAGCGAGAAAACAAAGCAGAGAAGGTAAGTAAGCCAACTCGTTTTGATAAAGCTGAAGACATGTCATGAATAGGGTAAATTGTACACACACGATGATCTAAAAAGTCAAGGTTAATAAGCGAACAATTGACAAGATCCAAATGTGACTCAAGATCAATAAGTCGGTGTGTCCGGAAGCTAGAATAACCTATGTGTGGGCTTGATATAGTAGTACTAGACAATAGAAAACATTAAAATAGCAATTAGGTGAATGTAACACAACAATACAAAACAGTTGCTTTTAATGCCATATGAAGTCCATACTATAAGCATGATTGGTACATACATTAACGTTGATTTCTCAACTAAAATTCATTTGCTAACTAACCTGAAAACACTTTTTATATTGTTACAAATAGGCAATGTTATCAAAATGTTTTGGAGATACCAGTTTAACTAAAATATGGCTAGGAGGGACTGCAGACCTAATGAATCATCAGTATGTCGTTTTGCGGTGGCTAGATCGATCAAATTTCAATTACCGCCGGTTCCCAGATACATATGGAGAACACTGGCAGAAAATCCTGAATAAGCATCAGGGTTGTATTATTGGTAACTTGAAAAACAATGGTCAAGGAGAATGGGACATTCAAGCTATGCGATGTGATGAACCGAAAGAGTTCATCTGCAAAGAAACAAACTTTGATCACCAAAATAAACCATGGGATACTGAAAAGTCAAAACGTGGTTATGTACCTCAAGAAACACCGTTTAATAATCGCTATAATCAACCCCCATTTGGTATTCTTTCATTGAATGGAGATATGTATCAACCGAAAATACCAGCAAGTCCGAAAAAGTCAATAATTGCTCACGTATCCAATGTACAGACAGTAATACCAACAACAGATAACACAGAACAACAAGTGAACCGAATCGCATTAATTCAGAAAAAAATCAATAACAACACTACAATCACAAGGGTCAATAGTAGTGAGCCCAAATACTACGTAATCCCGACAAAAATACCAAATAACATGACCGAACCACAAGCAAGTACAATGAGTACATTAGAAAATAAGAAAGTGAAATTCGTTATCATCAAATCAAATGGGCCGAAAACAAGTCCTGAAGAAAATAATAATGATAAAAAGTCGGATCAAAGCAAAGAAACAACCTCAGGAAAACAACCTGGACCAGTTACAATTTATCTTCAAGGTGTTTCTGTACCAGAAAACTAGTTTAAAGAAGAAGCCCAATAATATTCTCTTTCTAACATTTTCACCTGTTGAGCGTTAACAATGAAACTGTATTGGTTATGAATACTATTTAGATAAGATTGGTTTAAATTTCATGTTTACTAGGCTGATTGACAAATAAAGATTTTCATTACACTTCGTCGTTTTATTGACGTAAGTTTCATGCACTGCAAGCATGGAACAAGAAATCAGATTTGCTTAATCATAGAAACAAAGTTTACCAGATATTACTTTTATATCATGCGATGAAAGCCGTCGTTTACGAGATAATCTGCCTTGAAAATAGAGTAAGATTACGACGTAACATTAGTTGTAATACTAAGCAAGAAACCATAAGGAAATCAGTACAGCTTAGTAGTTCCAGCCAGTTGCCTACGTGAAGAGTGCTAAATTCATTATAAAAATAGTTCCATCTCATTTTGCTACTAGTTAACTCTTTCTTGGATAATTTAAGACCAGAGCCACCAAGAACGAATTTCTAAGTTAAAATCAATAGCAAGTAATTTGGTCCTACATAAAAATAAGAGTTCCCATAGATCTTATGCTGGTCACATCAACAGATAGAGCTCGATTCAAATATCAACAAAACCGATTTTACTTTCCACTAAATGATGGATCAGAACGCTGGAAATTACTTCAATATGATCGCTTAAGATAATAGGGTAGCTCCTTCTTTCTATTGGTTATGTTAAATCAACCGGTTACCTGATATTACGGATGAGTAGATTATATTTACACAGATGTTTTGATAGTCGGCTTTCAAATGACTGAACAGTGTCCTATCGGCTATAGGTACCAACTTATAGTTTACCGATGGAAAAATTAACTATCTAAGGTTAGACGTTGTACATGAATCGCATTATATAAAAGTCTATTCGGAAACAAGACTGATTTGATAAGATTTCTTTTCGGAGATTTCATTCCTAAAGTTGTGCAGCCGCATATATGTTCACATAACAGCGATTAAATGAATATAGCAAGGAAAAACAAATAAACATACAGAATTTTCATTTGTATTTAAGGGTTCGGTTGAAAATGAAGTAAGATTCTTATGAAAGCTAAACAGAGTAATAATGATGGGATTGTATTCAGTAATGTGGTTAAATAAGTGAAAATTAAGATGTCGAGTACTTTTCTTTCGTACACCAAGTCCTGGTTTCACGGTGTATAGAGGTTACAGTGAGATATATCACAGATAACTAAACGATGGGTCTGTCTTGGTTGTATCGGTTGTCGTGATAAGACGTTCTATGATTGAGTTTCTAGTCCGACTGTAGTGAACGAGAACTCAGATGAAGGAAACCAATTAATTGTTTAGTACAAAATCACTCGGTTGCTTAGACTACTGTCTATTATATACTCCATTATTCTTCTAATTGTTATTATCTCGATTACTCTCCGCTTTCCTTCCTCTTCTCTTCATTTTAATCTTCTGCTGGCAGGCATTCCACTTCCGACTGCTGTTATATACTACTTATATCAGCCAACATAAACAGATTACACCATACAACCACTAATCCGCTTCCTTAACCATGTAGCGTAGAGCTTTTTTAACCCTCCTGCACAAAATGCGCACTGAACAACCATTACAACTTGCCCAACATGAATAGGTGCACTGATAAACACACAGCGAACAAGTGAAACGCCATAGTTTGTCTTTTGGGCTGTTGACAATTATGCGTTGGCTGGAGAACAGCACCTTCATGTTTATTGTTATACAATGTTGTCAAGTGACTGTTTCATGTGTGTTACCTGCGTAAGCATCTTTGTAACATGAAGTATTGTTAATTAAGAGGCAACAAGCGATTGGTTTTGTATGCAAACAATACTTTTGTTATCTCCAATCATAAATCCAATTTGAATAATGTTTTAAATATGTAATCTATAGCTGTTACCTATCGATAAAATTTACCCTAGAGGAGGAAAATGAACCTAGTTCCGGCTTCCTTAATGTTAGGATGAAGAAAACCTGATGAAACGTTTTACTAACAATCAGTTATATTAAAATATACATGACAAAAGACTAATCTAAAATATTCTACTACACTACGCTTACTAGACGGGTATCCAGTTCGCTAACAATAATCAAGGAAACAATGGAGTAATTCTATTGAGATAATACAGACTGCCGATAGATTTCATAGAATACTTCCCGATAACGAACAAATGATCAATCATGAAAACAGGCTACTTGATTACCCTATCAGAAGTCTCGAATAACTGTCGGGAAGTTTTAACTCTATGAAAATGTTCATAGGAAATAGAAGGTCATGTATTGCACAAAGGATTACAATACCCTTCTCGTATGAAGATCAACTAATTTCAAAAAATGACATTCAACTATATGAAATACTCACGGCATAAAGTCCTTACAATCATATTCACCAAACAAACTGTTGTGTCTACTTAAAAATGCAAAAAAATGTAGTTTCATGTATCACCATTAAGCCAAATGAATGAGAAGTTATATTCATTCATAGATTATGTCATCAATTTTGAATAATATTTAGAAAAACAAATCACCATCACATTTAGAGGATAGTTATTTCTTAGTTGATTTGAGGATAATTATCCTCATTAGTATAATCCACGATAATCTATGCTCTCAACTTGGTTGCCTATTTATATTAGTAAATGGTACAAGGAGGTACCAAATACATATGCACCACATAAATCATTCGATTTTTGTGAGGGCTGAGATACTGCCCGGGTTCCCAAACCGAAAAAGGTGGTTCTCTTAGGGGGTCACACACTCGCAGCCTTCGGCCTGAAGGTCTGATCCACAATGCAGTGGAGTAACGTAAGGAAATGCAATCCCATGGTAGCCGGTCACCAACAATAGGTTCATACACCATTTATTCCTTCAGGATACTGGAGCCAGCCCATGTGCACCATTGGTGTAGAATCAAAGTTTTCCAACTCCCCTAGGTGGACTCTCCGTGTCCATCAACCCGGTTAAAGAGCAGGACATTAATTAATTGCGAAACAAAATTAGAAATTTCTTAAACAGAACCGTTATGCACCGATAAGCATAATGAATGGTAACTTTTGGGATCCATTTATGGACCAATACTATGCATATATTTTATCGTATAATTGTTAAATAACTAAACTATTCATATTCATGTCCCTCTTATTATGAGCTTGATTTTGATCCATGAACTATTATTATACGATGAACTATTTTCGAGGTATATCCAGTCTATTAATCACTATCTCCCACATTCACAGCCACATTTGGCCATATCATGTATAAATGTTGTTCCATACTTTATGGTACGATGTGGTCTGTCTGGTTAGTATATAAACCCAGTATATTTGAAATATAATGATTCATATTGCAGAAGCTGAGATTGGTGTTCTGGACATAACTGGTTGGGCTAGGCACAAAGCAGGGCCAATAGGGACTCTAGACTGCTCTCACGGGTTTTATGCGTCGTTAATCCGATTGGTATCATTACGTTATACATTAGCAGAGCACTCATGCCACAAGTTATAACAAGAACAAATTAAAACAAAGCACAATCATGTACAAATGTATTTTTTTTTATTAATTTCCAATAACCAATACCACTGTTAATCAACTTATAGATCATTCACATTCAATCAATACAACTTAGCATTATCTTTTCTCAAACGTCTGTATATCATGAACAGGGGCATTTCAAAATAACACCAGTTCAGTAATAAACAAATACAAAAAAAAAACTAAGCAAAATTACAATTCCAAAAAGTCTTTTAACCATCAAATACACTAACAAAACAAAACATAAGTCGACATGTACAATAAATTACAATACTAAGGAATACTGCATTTGCTAAACAAGTTAATTCTAAGCGTACATCATTCCATGTTTCTAATCGACCAAATAATAAACATAATATAAAATGTATAAGACCAGTTCGTCGTTTACGTTTCGATGAAATAGTTTTATGTTTAATATTAGATTGTGATAAATAAGTAGGTAAATGATTATTTGAATAATAATCAAGTGTATAACAATTAGGATTATTTGATTTATAATGACTGATACTTGTCATACAACTTAAATTGTCATCATCAGGTCGACAAGATTCAATCATTTGTTGTTGTTGTTGTGATGGTGGTGGTGGTTGTTGTTGTTTCATTAGATTGTAACGAGTTGAATATAAATTAGACGATGTAAATGAATGTTGAGAATTCACATTCGAGTATTGAGAACTAATAACACTAGGGGAAATATTATTACTACCAGCACCACCACCACCACCACCACCGCCGCCACCACCACTTAGAACAGACGGTCGAAATATATTATCATATTTATTTGTTGAACATAATTTTGTATCAGCCAATTCATCTTCAAGTGATTTTCTACTTGAATTTAAAGAGTTCATTGTACAATTTGTAGAATAATGACTTGGTGTTGAATAATAACTTATACTATCGGTTGATTGAAAACATGGTAATTTAATATCACTAGGCCAAGTATCTTTTAATTTTTTCTGTTGTGACATACAATCTTTAAGAAAGAATGATAACCATATTCTAATTCCATAAATAATAATAATAATGAATGAAATAAACAAAACAAATACACCTAATAGTGTAATATGAGTAAATGAAGTAGTAGACCATGTCATACTATTCATTAGATTAAAACTATTAATATTTACTGAAGAAGATGATAAGAGAATATTCAATGAAATTAAAAGCATTGAAATATCATACAATAAGACGAGTGATTTCAAACCATCATAATACATTGAATAATGTTTGTTACCATGTCTTAAACTAGTCATAGCAACAAGTGTTATTTGTAAACAAAACATTAATAAATTAAACCATAATTGACCAATATTAGAAAGAGAGAAATGTTGTGAATAAGTCATTATTTCAGTACAATATCTTCGTGAATAAGATCGACAATGATTAGACCAAATTAATTCAACAAATTTATATAAATAAGACTTATTCGTTATTATATGAATAAGGCATGTTTGTCTACTGATTTCAATTAGAAGTGGACCAGTAATAATGGATATCAAACATAACATACTAATAATACGTAAAACAATTAATAATTCAAACCATGCAATAGTTTTACGATAAGTTTTTAATGAAATAGAATTTTTAGTTAGACAAATGGTTCGTTGTTTATTATGCCACCATTCAATGAAACTTGGTAATAATTTATAATCTAACTGTTGGAGAGAGAGAGAGAGAGAGAAAGAAACAATGAAATAATTAAAAGAAAAGAGCAGAGTAAAGTAATTGTCATTTAAATTTGTATTTGTTTATGAATTCATTTAAACACATAAACATTAGTACAAAGAGGCACCGAGTATATATGTAGGTGGGTTGTGTTACTGCCCAGGTGCCCGAACCGAAAAAGGCGGTTCTCTTGGGGGGTCCCACACCCGGAGACTTTGATCTAAAGGTTTGATCCACAAGGCAGTGGAGAAACATAAGGAGATATAGTCCCATGGTAGCCGGTCACCAATAATTGGTTCATTCATCATTTATTCCCCTAGGATACTGGAGCCCATGTACAACATTGGTTTGGAATCAAGGTTTTCCAACTCCCCTAGATGGACTCTCCGTGTCCACCAACCCGGTTAAAGCGCATGACACTCGTTGTTCGTCCTATCAATTTTGTAAACAACAATAATGCCGCGAGGTAGTGAGTAGGACTCCCCTGGCAGCAGTTGTATGCACGTGGCCATATGAGAGCATTTAGAGAGGGAGAGCTGATTCTTTCCACTCTCAGACGTACCAGGGCATTTGTGTGTTCAACACTTTAGTTACTGTTCTGTTTATTGAGTGGGCGAATGTTACATATTAGTGCAACTGTAAATTATTTCATTTTAAAATAGCTGGAGTTAACCACAGCTATCTGCTATGAACATGTCCATGTAGCGCAAGTGTCATACCAATCAAAAGCCACAAGTGCAGTGAAAGCAAGGGGTTGCATAAAACGAAATTCTGAACCAACCATACTTTAATATGCAGCACTCATCTACTGAGCCAAAAAATAATAAAAGGTACTGGGTAAGGTACACTTATAAATTGTTGTAGGTAACTTAGTTCTTGAGATATGAATTCATATGACTATTTTTATCATTATGCATCAGTATAGCTACCGAAAATCCTCTCACTTTAATACCAACCATGAATCCTAACTCGAACCTTATATTACTGGCTATAATAAGCAATTCAACATGTAAGCATTCACTAATCACATCAAATCTGTACATACACTAGAATTTTATTACTTTCTTATCATAAATTGTTTTAAGGCTAAATGTCACCTTTTGATTGGTCGGTATGTTATTCACAGATCATTGTAGTAGTTTACTTCTACCGAAACTCCTACAAAGGCCCTGATACACCGAAACCTCTTCTACTATCGAGCACCATAGTTTTATTCAAAGAAGACTTCACTTATTGGAACCTGTTAAATAGGTGGACGGTTAATATAGCATCTGTCCAGACAATCTAACCATATTAATCTGACGCCACCAGCACTAATGTTAGTACGTCGCAAAGCTGTAGTAAGGTAAATAGAAGTGCAAGTGGAACTGTCAGTTTTATTTCCGCTTGAAAGCACCGTAAAAACGAACAAGTCATAACAACGATACTATATAAAAATTAGAAGTTTCAGAACAGTTCAGGCGCTGAGAAGCCAATTATAAGCTTGCACAGATGAACAGTCATCGAAATTTCTATTTTATGGAACAAAAGAGGTAGCGTTATATAATACGACAGAAATGCGGTAAAACACGATCTAGTCTCAAACTATTTCAATCTTGACATTTGTCAAAAAGAACAAAAGCAAATAAAGCAGGATAAAGCGGGGAATTTCAGTTGTAGCTCTATTAGTCTTATCCCCTCAAAGGCAAGTTGTTCTAGTATTTTTATGAATTCGTAGATTGTTGCTTGACGTCTGATGGATTTATTCAGGAACTACAGTAACGTGTTTTCAACGAAGAATGCTCATATGGAACATTTTAATGGCCGGAAAATTGGGATAATTATGATTGAGACTAGTAAGCTCATGTCTTAGAATTTGACAACTGATATTAATGCACTTTCTTATTCAATAGTGCAACACAGGAGGCTCAACATTCGAGACTGTGGCGGCGGTATGCTTTAATAAACTAGACCTTAAAAATCCAGGTACTTTAAAAAGTAACGATATGAATAGATACTTAATTTGTTGAAATGAAAAACAACACGTCCCTAAAGGTCATTCTATTTGGCGACCGCCCGAAAACATCTGGTTCCTTCAAAAACAAACCACCAATTCTTTACAGTTCTCTGCATTGCACTTACTGTTAGATAAGGGGATACAAATGGGTGGGAGGTTTTACCCTCACAAAATGACAATAAAATCATAACCGTTAACAGTAGTCATTAAAATAAATTATTAGATTTGAGTGACCTCTATGTAATATATATGCAATAAAAAATTGCAACCTACCTGCCTAAGTTTATTATTAACTTTTCGATAGCAACTTGAACACAAACCATATTCCAACTCCAGCAGGCGAGTGTATTCTTTTATTTCCTCATCCGACTTGTCGTTTTTCGGGGTATACTCCGACAACTTTTGGACAATAGTATTTTGATTACGTGTACAGTCCGGGCACAATACATCAGAATGTGATGAAAACGTACCGTGAGCCTAAAGAGATCAAGGGTAAATATAGATCTCACCTTATTGAAATTAACTGGATTTAACTCGGCAATGAACTGAGATGGTATAACTTTGTTGTAATCACCATCACTTTTAAATCCATTATACTGACCACATTGTTGACAAACAAACGATGTCTTTCTACTCCACGATGTGAAGGCAGTATGCCCACAAAACCAACACTGGACTTTCAAATAAAAAAACCTGACTACTAAAACAGTGAAGGTACTAAAAAGTCCCAGACACACTGCTAAAACCAACATCTTGAAGTATAATGAGAAACTAAATTCTGTGGGATAGATTATCGATCAACCAATTGTATAATCTTGTGACCAAAATTAAACTGTTCGCATAAAAAAGAAACAACTATCAACTCAATTTCATAAAAATAACTTAGAACTCCTTTGGTAGGTTGATGTCAAGTTTTTGTTTGGAAAGGACAGATAGCTCGTGTTACTCCTGGGAATAGTGGTCTCGGTTGATCTACCTTTCTCTTGAAAACCTCGACAAAGCTTCAAACACGTATTGAGTTAGGGATTTCCATTGCTTGATGATTCGATAAGAAAGTCGATAATCAGATGTTTTAGTGTCCTCGTGAATTCTGTATTAGAAAATAAGAAAAATGAAGGCTTATCAAACGCAAATTTATCGTGAGTTTGAAAACTATGATCAATTCACCTCTGGTCATTCTATTAGACAAAGGAAACGGGACTAGTTTACCTCGTTTTTGTCATACAGGAGCCTTTCGGTCCTGGAAATCAGCTTAGCTACAGTTTTTTGGACCTTTTACAACAGCCCGTTGTATTTTTTAAGCAGGGGCTAGCTGCTTGCATGCGATTTACAAATTCAGGAGCTAACCAGTACTCAAGGGCTACTAGTAAGTTTGCGAGACATGAATAACCGGTTATAAATCAATGTTGCTTTTTAGGAAGAATCCGATTTTCATTTAAACACTTAAACAACTCTCGAACAATCCTTTGTAACTGAAAGTAGTTCAATTAAAGTAAAAACAGTAGTCTTGACGTGTTGAAGTCGATTGAAAATATAAATTTAACTCAGTGAGGGGAAATACCGCAAGATACTTAATGAAACGGTTCAGTAGGAGAGTTGTAGTCGTTTGTGTCTAGCCAGAAGGTACTTTGTACAACCGGAGCATGCAGAGTAGCATGGGCGAGGACTGGAATAAGTGAAAGGAAAAGGTAAGTCGACGACACAGCAAGCGTACACAATGCACTTGCTTTTATTAAGAAGAATAATAAACAGCAACCATCAGTAACATAAGCCTCAAATTATGGGGATCCTGGAATCGGAAGTAGAAGCACATGGTTTAACCGCTAGATTGTATAACTTCAAACGAGTCACAAGGTCGCGGCGGTTCGCAGCTGAAATCAAAGACCTGGGTTGTTCATAAATGACAGAAGTCGAAGTATGGTTTGCGGTCTTAGCAATTTTAACGATTCAAATCCTATCGTTTTCTCAATTTAATTTAATCCTGTCAAGTTAAAGCATCCTAAAGAGTAATAAATAAATCACTTCTCTCTACACTCACAAAAATTATGGAGCCCCTGATATGCGATGGACTACACGACTACTTACTACCCATAAACTTCTTTTCCCCCCAATAGCAAGGTTTCATAGAAAGTCACTGTTGTATAACCAACCTGCTGACCACGGTGGAAAGATGTATGCAACCAAGAGGATAAACTGGCACTTCTGGATGATCTGACTTAACATCACAGTTGGGCAGATAACAACAGACTTAGCTTTAATACTTCCAGGTGTAAGATAGTTCATCCGAGACATGTTGCATACTACGAATACAGCTCAGGTAACTCCTTGCTGGAGGTATCCAAAGATGAAATGATCTAGGAGTGTTGGTACCCTACGATCCGAAGTCTTACGCTAACTGCGACAAAAACGCTATTCCGGCAAACCTTGCACTGGTAACATTGAAGATCACTTTCAGCCATTTCGATGAAAGGACTTTCCACTTAATCTTCAACGGTTTTATTAGAACTCATTTAGAGTACCGAAACGTAACATTTCCTCCCTCACTAAAAATTATGAGGAAACTCTGGAACTTATCCAACAGCGAGCCACGAAATCAGTTCGGGAACTCAAATTCAAGTTTTGTGGTGGGCGCCTCCAGTCTCTAAACCATTTGCCCTCATAGTACGGGCGTTTTAGCGGCGACTTAAAGCATCTTAAAAACTTTTGGGCATCCCCTCAAACACCTATTCAAACTTAGTCACAACACAAACCTTAGGGGTGACACCCAGAAACTGGAGACTCAAAACGACAGAACGGAATGTAGACACCATTTCTATTCCTTAAGAGTAGTTAAATGTTTTCATTCGCTGACGACTTAGCTAGTCTAAGCGATTTTGCAGGACACCTTTAAGAGAAAACTTGACATATTCTTGAGGACTAAGGATGGTATTTCACCATGATTTACTAATCGTTTTCTTTTTTCTCTCTTATTGTTAATATATCTAGGTCCTTACTTAGAGATATTGGTAATCCACTGCTATTGGTTATGGAAGCCCGTTAAGTGAAAGCTTCTTCTATTGCGTTCAGAACAATATGCGGCCAAAGATGAGAATTTATCAGACTTCTTTGGGAGGAAAACCTTGAACGTTTAGTTGCATTAGATCCCATTATTTCTAAATGACTGATTGAATTTATAAAAATAGAGTGAGGGTGAAAGCATATTTGAATTATACAGTATTTATCTTGTTTCGAAATTTTTAAATTGTGTTTAGTTTCGTCCTCGTTACCTGGATAACTACATTAGTTCTGGCTGCGTTTGTCTCAGCAGAGTACAATTCACTCAAGCTAGGTAATTACGATTAGCAGTTCTCATTGTACACAAAGGAAAAAGCAAGATTCTCCGATACAACACAGCATGCACCAATCCAATCTCAATTGACGGAGAAGATTTGGAAGATGTAAAAACAGTTCTAATGTATGGGGTGGAAACCTGGAGAACTACGAAAGCCATCATCCAGAAGATACAGGTATTTATTAACAGTTGTCTACGCAAAATACTTCGGGTCTGCTGGCAAGACACTATCAGCAGCAACCTACTGTGAGAGAGGACAAACTGGATTCCGGTAGAGGGAGAAATCAGGAAGAAGTGTTGGAAGTGGATAGGATACACACTCAGGAAAGCACCCTACTGCGTCATAAGGCAAGCTCTCGATTGAGATCGTCAATGTCAAAGGAGAAGCGGAAGACCAAAGAAGAACTAATTACACCGACAAATGGAGACAGACATGATAAGAATGAACAGCAGTTGAATAGAACTAGGAAAGAAGGCCGAGGATAGAGTGGGTTGGAGATCGGTGGTCGGCGGCCTATGCTCCATTAAGAGTAACAGGCGTAAGTAAGTAAGTAAGGTATTTCAGTATCTTTAGTTTACTTCCCTGTTGTTAACAGCAGCGAGCGGTTTGATAATTTACGTCACAGACCCTATAGCTTTCTTAGTTGGAACGTACGCCTAATATTCTCGTTCCGCATAGCTGCTTGAAGATTTTATATTTCTGTTGAGTCTTACATTTTTTCCGTTCGTTTCTATCTCAACAACCGTCGACGAATGTATCTGATATTCTACGTTACGAAAAATTGCTTATCTAGAAGGATCTATGGACATGCGTATCAGGTTATCGTCAGATTCATTACGATATACCCGCAAAGTCGTACAGGTAGATGTTCTTCATCTTCAGGATGTATGGCATGAATACGTTACGCAGGTGATAGTAACTAAAGGGTGGAGATATTATAGATTTGACAGTCGAGAGATTCTGGTATGATAACGATTCAAGAGTGATATTCTAAAATAAATAAAGGGAAATTGATGATGAGGAGGAGGAAAAACACAACTCAACAGAGCTATAGAAAGATGAGCCTGTGGATTCTAAATTGAACATCTAGAGCTGGGTGCTCATAGAAATTGTGAAGGGATTTGAATAAGATGTTTGACCCAGCTCGTTAACGAGTAATATCAACGAACAATTAATGGGCATTATCACTGTTTAGAACGCCTATTTACCATGACATTTCCCCCACCTTCATAGTGAGACAATGAAAGCCCCAAAATATCCCCAAAAACAATTCGGAATCAAATACTTTGCGCTGAGAATTCTATATTGCACCAAAAATATAATACTGAATAAAGCTGACGATAATAATAATAATAATAAATGAGCTGGCTGTTGAGATTTGATATTCCGATGGCCTGATAACTTTAGCAGTACACAGCTGCCTTCACCAATATTTAAATGTTGCATGATAAATCGAACAAAAAGTTGACGTGGCTCCTTTGTTACCCCTTTCGTGCTGGTGGTTACCCTCCCCACGTTCTATTGGTAGAAGTGATGAATGTTTTTATTTAGATACTGGATGTTTCAGTGGAGCGTGAGGTTATCTTTTAAAACACATAAAGCTTTTCAACATTCGATATAAAACAATAGAAAATATAATACCTATACAAAGTAAGGGAGCGAATGAGTACTTGAGCCATAATGTTCTGAAATTTACTTGAAACTTTGATGTCAACCCTTAACAAATCAACTTAAGTTGTTAAACACTAACTATTTACCCTTTTATTTTCAGTCTTCCTGGAAAATGAGGTTTGTGGGTAGGTGTTGAGATATAGTTTTCGTAAGCGTTCGTAAACTCGTTTAGTGTATATCAGTAAAGCCTGTATTAAACGTCCTAACAGTGATAAGCTGTGGAAGTTCTCATTGCCCAAAAACTATAGATTTTGAACAGAACATTTCAGTAAATATAAAAATTCCTTTGATTCATTTACAACCATTTATTAGGAGCGTTATAGTAATACTTGTGTAACATAAAAAGCATCAGATACATGCGGTCATTCTTAATTCATTGTGTCAGTTTCATGGTTTCTGTAGGCCACTTTTATGTCTGTTAGAAACCGTTAGGTAACCTAATGTTTGATGACCGTTGCTTGTTCCCGATTCTAAGTGGACAGAAATTGAGCTACCTTCTAAATATGGAATGTTTAATTGATTGGTGAGTATCTGTGTTCACCAGTAGTAAGGTACGCTCAATGTATACCGGACGGCGGAAAACTGGTTTGAGCTATTAGGAGGAAACGAACGTGTACAACTGTCCCTCCCACCGTAACTCTGTCTAGCTCATTGCAGGAAATAACTTCGCGACCCTGAACGTGCTATCACAGAAAAATTGAGGAACTGAAAACAAGAGGACGGCAGCCAACAATGACCGAACGGAGCTAGAGGAAGCTTCAGTGCAGACTGAATGTATGAAAGCAAACTAATAATTGAATGTCAGCGTTAGAACCCGTTAGAGGTAATATGTGGCATACCTAGCAACGACAGCAGACAAATAAGGAGACGAAAATATGGGATAACTATGATGCAAAGGAGAATCTCTTGGGCAATCTCAATGAACCAGAGAGGTCAATCAAAAAGAACGGTCAAACTAACCACTGAGGTTTGATCTCAGTGGAAAAAGTGATTAGATCACTTTAGAGAAGTGAGGAATAGACAAGCCCCGCTGAACCTAATGTACATTGAGGCACCACTTACGGACGTTCCCGAACATGTCAGCCCGTAGAATTATGGTCTAATTCGATATTAATGCATTTTCTTTTCTACTATATTGGTAGACCGAATTCGAGATTTGTAGATTAGTCACCTCGTGACTACCTACTCTAAAAGATCTTTCGTAGAAGTCGCATTATTCTCCACACTGATTGGAGTTGCACTTGTATCGGTTTTGATCAAACCAACCGCCAACGCGGTTATAGTTTTGGGACCACTGACATTTGTTTATTCTGATTGAAGTTTCTAAATCATTTACTTTGCATCCAAATTTACGCCTATGATGAATAAGGCAAAACAAAAGAACCAACATTTAGGAGCAACAATGTTGTTTATTAATGGCACTGACTTGCACACTCCACTTACCTTTTTAGCTGAAGAGTAGTTGTAGCTAATAAATATTAATGTCAAAGACAGTCTTCTTAGTCCAAAATTTTGAAGAAAAAGTTTCTAAAGTGTATTTAAGTCCCAGTTTTCGTTGAGTGTACGTTAAATGGTACTTAACCTTGTGTGAAGGCCTACAATAAACGGCATGTATGTTTGCAAACATTTAGTTATTCAAATACCAATTTCTTTTCCTCTTTTATTGTTAACATACCTAGGTTCCTGCCTGGAGGATTTGGTGATCCCCTGCTACTAGACACGGAAGCCTGTTAAGCGAAAGCTTCTTCTATTCCGTCCACAACCATTTGAACCATTTGAACCATTTGAACTAGCATTTATGCAAAGTGATACTGATTTAAAGTACTTGAACGAGAGCATCGTTTGCTTCTTCCACTTTTTGAGTGC